CTAATTGGACGGGACGAACAAGTCGTTTGTCTGGTGGTAAGCGACAAGCCTACCCATAACAGGTGCGGTGCCACTCAGAGCATTAAATCATAAAGATCTTGGAGGCACTGATACTGCGCCCGTCATAAGTTGCCATCGCAATCCCATAAATTGACAAGTCCCATGTGCCTGTAACTTCACCAGCACACTTACCCTTCAAAATCGGAGCTAGGTAAATCGGATAAATGAGTAAATCGGTCGGAAATAGGTAAGGTGGCAGTACTTCCCTGGACTAACTCTTTCCCAAGGAGCTTTTCTGCTACTAAGTACATAGTTGACAGTACGTCCTTATTATTATCCTTATTATTATCTATTAATGACGTCATACGCTACAAAATACAATATTGAAATAATTAGTAGCACAATTAATTATTGTCCGTATATTAAAACAAGAGACAGTTTCCACACTGTGTAAACTCGCAATAGCTGGCAAGTGCCAACACTTACTTTAGTTCAAGGCCGCTTGTTATATCACTGCTATTTATTATTACCTCGTTGCGAACCGCTGGATATCTGATTACGATAAGACTTAAAATCGATTTATGAGCTTAAAGAAGTGTGTCTTTAAATATTGGGTAATTATAGGAAACAAGTACACCCGTATCATATTTTTCTTAGAGCGCCTTCAAATTAGACGTGAAGCGCAGCAGCTGCGCCACTACTAGTTTTCATACAATATTTAGATTTTAGAAGCACAGTTGCAGCGCCCTCTGGCGTGACCTGCACGCGCCGCTTTTGCAGTCACAATTAGGCTCAATTTATATTGCGGCGGAACGGAATGGAAACGAATTTTGTAACGATGTTGTACATAGCATGTCAAATTGTGTAACGTACAAACTACATACGAGCCAAAACCTTCCGCGAAATATATAACAATTAATAATGTGCCAGACAACCGCATTAAGTGGTCACAAACTACTATGAGCCCCAGAGTCACCGAATTCACTCTGGGACACCACCCAGACCAGGACCCCGATTCAGAACTCTTCGATATCTTAACCGAATCATTCGATTGGATATCGTTTTCGAATCGAAGGGCGCTTTCCGAGCTATTCAGAACATTCGAGTTAAAAATTTGATTTGGATTCGGATACGATATCGTTATCCAACAACGTTTACGATAAGTTAGTCGTAAGTAAGTTAGTCGGCGAATATAGGTTATAAGAAAAATGAAATCCTTTTATATACATTTTTAACACTTCAAAGGCCTAAAATATAGGAATGCATTAGTCTCGCATTAAAATAAATTAATAAAATTGAACAAAATCAAGATTTCATTTAAAATAATAATAGATATCCATATCACATTCTTGCTTTGTAAACAATAGGACGTTCGGTAACTTTCATTCGATAACTTTGTTCTGAATAACGGTTGTAGCCTTTGCCGGTCTAGAAGTTCAAGTAATCGTACGGGTGTGATGTCATTTCGGTTCAGTTTCGAATACAACAGTTTGACGTTCGATTCGGTTATTGTGAAAAAAATTAAAACAAAACCTACGATATCTAATCGAATCGGTCGACAACAAAGTTATCGTATAAGGTTCAGAATCGACCTGCAGAACCAATTTATAAAAATTCGTTTACAAGTTGGTCCTATCGGGAATCAAACCCTCCTCATCCAGGGCAAATAGTTGGCCACTGTGGTTGTCACGTAATGTGTGTTATAACCAACACTAACACACATGACGTTTACCAAACATGCCTTCGATTCATCAACGTGCGTCAGTGTCATATAGGCTGTGGTTAACGCGATCGTTAACCACAGTAACGACGGTTCTGGAGTGTCCCTACTAGGATATAGGTCCTCGTCTGCATAGAGATAAATGACGAGGTCTTATCAAAAACATTCTTATCGGTTCTTATTCTTATCTATTGCAAGTTTATGCAAAAAGGTATCGGTAGTGGAGTTTTGGAAAGTGATACCGTTTTTAGGTCGATCGATATCTAGGTATTATAGGTGTTAAGATATAGATATCCAATATAATAACGCATTCAGGGTGCTGAAGGGGCTGCCGTGAAGGTGTAGCACATCGGGCATGTTTGTCGAGGCTCAGACAGATGGTTTCATGGCCTTTTGCGGTAATAGTGTGCACATCTGCGCTAGGTTGCCTCCGCGGGGGCTCCAACAGCATTTTGTGTGTTCACAGATCCGGAAGACTCGCCACTCCTACGGAGATGGATTGAGCTCAATACCATCATTTAATTACGTAGCTGTATTGTCCTGTATTAATACATAATAGTAAATACTAGATCATAAGTTATTTTGTTTACTATGCTCCGTCCAACCATTTATTTCACTTTGGACAGCTCGAATTCTAATCAATTAGTGATTTCCTAATTCGTTTCCGATTCCATTTTTTATAACAATCGATTTTATTTATGAAGAAGTTTTAATCGTGAACGTGAGCGGGTTCAAAAAAGAAGGTATTGTCTGATTGGGATCGTGATGTTGCGTTTGATAATTTGTGTACTCAAGAATAAATGATTAATTAATGAAGAAAGAAGAAATTAATGAGGATTCAAGTGATGATTACCGTTCATACGGAGAAGAATGCGACAATTCATAAACAATAAGAATTTATTATAATTATTTATAATTTATTAGACAGGTACCAAAATTTATCAACTTGAATAATCTTCGTTACATAATCTATTGGCTCGATAAATATCAGAGCTAAAGAGCACGTCGCTTCACTAAAGTCAAAAAATAAAAGAGTCCAGGAAGTATTGCATTTTTTGTCTATGGTTGTATGCCAATAATTACGGAACGTATCGGATTTCATCAATTAAATTCTTGTCAGAGACAACTCTTTGTGTAAATGTGGTCTGTTCGAAGGTACCCTTGATCACATTTTTTTTTAATGTCCTAAATTCGCTTCCTCCTTGTATGACTGCCTGCCTTCGTTCATTCCTCGTCCTATTAACCTTAAATTTCTCCTCTATGTGTATTCTGTCTTTATTAAACGTTTTGTGTGATTTTATGTGATCTAATAATATAATGCTTTAGTCCGTTGTTTGTCCATGATTGTTTTTTGTATCCCAGCATTCCACAACAGCATTCCGTCGAAGAGATTCATCTAAAAATAAATACCTTGCTGCTATATAAACGGCGTTATTGACCAATATTAACTGACAACATTAATCGAAACTGACACTGGCCCAAGCCTAGTGTCCGCCATTAAGGAAATAGAATAGGCAAGCATTTGTCAAAAGTTAAATAAATGGTTGGACGGAGTATAACACTAAATGGATTGTTATCTGAATTAAATGTTTTGAATTTCAATAGGTACAGGGTTATATTTTGGAAAATACTATCTCGCAGAGCTATATTACCAGAAACATTAACATAACTTGTTTCATGGGTTTTTATACTTTTGTTTTTATGACACAATAATAATAATATTTACGGTTACATTTTCCCCAGTGACCCGAAATTCGGGTGCAAATGGTGCAATTATAAATGATGTTAGGAAGTAAGCCCGTTTGTTTCTTTTGTGTCGTGAGCGACACAGGCTCTTTGGAGGCGTCGCGAGCCCCCTAAAACCCCTGCGCCCGTGTGCGCTGCAAACCCTGCACCATAGGTAAAGCGGCACTTGCTTACCGCCTGTAAAACAGGACGTGCTCTAGTGCCTTAAAACTTATTATCGCTTTGATGTTTGTAACTATAATACCTCTTAACACATTTTCAATTTAGATAAAGATTTTAATAGCAATTAAGCTCTCTTGTGAAAGTGTTAGTCCAGGGATGTACTGCCATCTTACCTATTTCTGCCACCAAGCGGTATTGTGTGTTCCGGTTTTGAAGGTTAAGGCTATTGGTGAAATTGCAGGCACATGTCATGTTCCTCACCCAGTATCAGAATTTAGATATATTCTTTGACAAACAGTATGTTATCCGGCGCGGGATAATTCTGTTCGTGAACTACCTTTCGAGCATTGGTGTCCTGTACAGTGGGTAGCATACTGTGTGTGTATTTCAATTTAATTTTGTAATATCGTTTTTCTTAATTTCATTTTTGTATATTTTTTTAATTTGATCATTATGTGAGCGAATAATGTAAATACTGCTTTCAAGGTTTTCAATAAAGAAATAAATAAATGTAACAGGGTGACATGCGCAGTGGCAAATTAAAGCGTTAAGTGGCAACTTGGTATCATAAAAAACAAGTCAGAACAAAGGTATTTTGGTGCGTTGTTTAGTGCAATCCTTACGTCAATAATAATAACATATTAGTATAGTATTGTCACAAAAAAATATATGACTATCATGGTGTAGTAAAAACACCATGATATTTAATAAAATAAAATATCATTCATTCAAATTTGCTCATTGCGTATAATAAGTTAGGCGCAGTTTGTATATATGAGCCAAAGAACAGGCCAAATTAATTTCAATTGAGGCCCATAAATGTTAACACGAGGCAATGGTAGGAACAATGCTTTGGGAAATATGTATAAGGCTATTTTAATACTTAATAATGACGTAGTGTCATTCTTTAACAGTTTTATTTACTTATTTATTCATTAAAAACCAAAAGCTTTAAGCACTAAGCAGGTTACACCATACTTATTGGCTAACACAGCAAGCTACACAGATTCTAGGATCAAATTACTCTTTATAAATTATAATCCCTACTTTGTTTACAGTTAAAAAGAAAAATGTGAAAACAATATAATCCCTACGTTAGAATAAGAATTTAAATAAACGATTTGGTACAAAACAGATATCTCAAAGTTTTGAATAAAATATTTTTTATTTTATTTTGGAAGATGGCTAGCGAGTCATTAAATATGTCGAGATTCATGACTTTAAATAAATTGTTGTATTTTTTTAAACTCTGTTTATAGGAGCACTTATACCCAAATTTGCCGTTTCGCCTTGGAATTGTGAAGTTAATTTTTCGCTGCGAAAAAACAGTTTGACTTCCAAAATTACCTAACGTATTTTTTTTTGTCAACAGGGAGCACCGGGTGAGTCCGGCGCGTCATCCAGTGCCGGGCGAAACGAGCCCGTGAGAGAGACGGTGTGCGAAGGTGTGTGCCCCACGCCACGCTGCTGGCGCCGCGCGCTCAACGTGGATCCGCCCTGGCTACGTGCCCGGGCCCGCTGACGCTCAACCACCCTCTTAACGTAAGTCGTAGCTTTAAATTATTTTTGTTATTGGCATTATGGCAATTATTAGAAGGTCACGGTTGACCATGGGACCTGGAAAGGGCCCGAAACGTTGTGTTTGTTTGAAAAAAACAAATATACGCGATTTAAATCCGGAAAAACCGTTTCATTTCCTTTGTTTAATAATCGCGAAAACCTAAGAATTTATTTATATTTAAAATTCTCTTACGGTCATTTTAAGTTTGCCAAAAGACGTCTGCTCGCAATCACCTTATGTCCGTTGTTAGTTGTATTGAGCCAACTCATATTAATTATCGCCGATATATTCTTAATACACTCCCGGACACAATTGGAGCCATCTTACATTTTCAGTATTAAATGCCCTAAGCTTAAAAAATGTTTGACTGGTCAAAAACTACTATGCAAATTGGTATATTAACTTCATTGCCATATTAAGTCCTTGTTGAAAATATTGTAGCCCTTCAAAAACAAAAATGAAAGGTGGCTCGAATTATGTGTCTGAAGTGAAGAGTGTACTTTGAATAAAATAAATAGGTTTCACACATCGGTTATTCATGGGTCAGTGTTCGTTACCTAATTACCATGTCAATTTTTATTATTTTATTATTCGAGTATATAAAAATTGACATGGAAATGAGGCAGAGATCATTAACCTGAGAATTACATACGACGCCAGATTTACATTTGTCTGACGTGTAGTGTCGTGACGCGTCAGAACGGTATGGTTTTCATACACACAGCACAAGCGATACACTAACATAAATCGATGCCTTACTTTTTCAAACTCGTATCTTATAAAGAGTGATTATTCAGGAGACGCTATTTATTTAAAATTTCTTATCAAGGGTGTTAATTTGGATGCATTACTTTAAGAATAGGTAAAAGCCAGTGTGTGAACATGAAGGAAATGTGATATGAAATCAGCCTGCAACATTTGTATATACAATCCATTGTTTGCATTTCAGTAACTTTGATGTTTAAGTTATGATTTTGAGAAAGTAAGGCGACGAAATCTAACCATATTAAATGTATGAAACCGATACCGTCCTGACGCGTCACGACACAATGCGTCAGACAAATGTAAATCGGGCTATCTGCCTTGCTTTAAATGTGTAAATGTTTATATTCAGGTGACATCTGTGGATTAGCGCTAGTGGGCCCACAAGACTCGGCTCGATTACGTGACACAGCCCCCCGTTCGGTCCGTCGGCTATTGCCGCCCCCACAGCATAGCGCCCGCAGCGCCCCGCACTGTCGGGGTCCGGGCCCAGCCAACGGAGAGAACCTATCTATCTATTGACGAGTGAAAATAACTCTTAGTGTAATTAATATAGTGAATTGAATTGCGCTAAACATCAAGGGGGAATTTTGCAGAATCCACATTTTAAATTTTCGTTCAACAATTTTTAAAGAAGGAAAGATGAAGGTAGGTTGATGGAGTCTTATTATTTGTTATATTACTATGCTCTTTTTAATGAATACTACGTGTTATTTTAAATATTATAAATCTCAAATTTTGGAGATGTTTTTTAATGTGACAGGTTTTTAAGGGTTATCAAAAATTTTGTTTTGTTACAGGTTGTCGAAGATCAACCGAAGATCCGCGTAATGGAGGGGAGCTGGTCCCCGCTAGGCACGATCCGCGAAGTGGTAGAAGGAGGGGCGCAGGAAGACCCATTCTACGTCATGGACTTGGGGGAGGTCGTGGCGAGATACAACAACTGGAGGGAGCTCTTGCCACGCGTCGAGCCGTTCTATGGTGAGGTCTTATTATAATAAAAGTTTAAATGTATGCGAAATAAACAAAGACTTATTCTTAATAACACCAAAGACTTAATATCGGCTTAACAGCGAGTTGCAGATACGTTGGTACTAATACTAGTTTTCTTATTAAAGCATGTTATTAATTGTAATTACCTAATGTATATTTATCTCATGTTCAAGCAACATACGTAGAGTGGATAACCCGTCTTAAATCTCGAAATGATTAAAAATGAAAGACAAAAAACAACAAAATTTTTATATTTTTATTTACAAAGCTTTTCTATTAAATACATTACAGTAGTAAAGTAATAACCAGTTGCAAATTAAAAATATAGAAAAAATTCAATACCATTCCCTTGATATCATAAAACCACATGTTATAAGTAAAACCCTGTGTCTATGTGTGTGCCATAGACACACACATAGACAACCACAAATTACACCCAAAATCACGAGAGAAATAAATGTAGGCTATACTAATATTTCTCCCGGCCCGGGAATCGAACCTGGGACCTCTGCGTGGCAGTCCGGCATGGTAACCGTTCGGCCACGGAGGCAGTTAAAGTATATACGTCAAAGGTGCTTTTATCACTGGAAAGTCATGTTCAACACGTGAAACAAATTTTATGAATGTATGTGGGAAATTTTTAGCATAAAATTAGTTATCGACTAGTTTTGTTCGTAGAAACGTCCTGAAAAGTCATTTTGTTACCTTATGCGATATAAAATTTCCGCAATTTCAAAGGTATAGGTAAGGATATTATCTACTCTTATGTTATTTACTTTCTTGACGTTTAGGTGAATATGTTCTTCCTATTCCGACCACCAAGAGGAAAAATTTAAAATAAATTAAATAAATGTATTGTATTCTGATAGCGGTGAAATGCAACGATGACAAGCTACTGGTGAGCACTCTGGCCGCCCTGGGCGCCAACTTCGACTGTGCTTCAAAGGCCGAGATACAACTCATCACCTCGCTGGGCGTTGCTCCTGAGTAAGTTCCTTTATCTCTCAAGTCTCAAGATTAAATGCGTCAGTACACTGCACGCACACTTACAGACCGCCCTGCTGTGGTAGTAAGGAGTTACCATATTTGTTCTTTTTTTTATAACCAAGTGTCGGGACGAACAAGTCGTACGCCTGATAGTAAGCTACACGCCTGTCCATAACATTTACAGTGCAGATTGTGAACCTTCTTCAACGTGCAGGTTTCATAACGATGTTTTCCTTCACCGAAAAGCTCATGACAAAATTTCAAATTAAATTTCGCACATAAATTCCAAGAAACTCAGAGGTGCGAGCCCGGATTCGAACCCATGACCTTCTGCTTGAGAGGCAGTAGGTCAAACCATTAGGCTACCACGGCTATAGCAGCGTAGTATTAACAAACAATTTTTGTTTAGACGTATAATCTTCGCGAACCCGGCGAAGATGGCGTCGCACATCCGTTACGCGGCCGCGATGGGTGTTGACACCATGACCTTCGACTCGGAGACCGAGCTCATGAAGATCAAGCAGTACATGCCGCATGCGCAGTGAGTACTTTAAAATATTTTATGTAAAAGTCTGAACTAAGAATATTCGTACCAAGATAGTAATTTAATATAACTTTAAAAATTCTTCATAAAGTTTCGATTGTATTAGTGTGTTAAATTTTGCGTTTTTTCAAAACAGTCAAAAATTAGCACAATCTAGTAAACATCAGAAATTATTGAAGAAAAATTAAAATATCAGATCTGGCAGTATCGATACCTCCAACTTTTTTTTGGTCATTATCTGTTATTTTTGTAAACATCCATATTTATTTACTGATATTTGAAAACCAGCACTTAACATTGAATACCAGCGCCACAGTCAATTATGGCCGTGGCTTATGCTGAATGAAGTCCTTTTGCGTACGCCACAACCGCACAAATGACAGTACAAAATTTGTAGTTGTTATAATTTGTTTTTTTTTGCTTTTTGTCAAATTTCTTCTTATTCATCTTATTTAATGTTGTTTTTTTCATTGTATTTTTTATTTTGTTCATTATTTTTACATTTGGATTTCCTTGTTTGTGTTATCACATATCTATGTGTTGTGGCGTTGCAATAAATGTCTATTCTATTCTGCTCCCCGAATTTTGTGAAAAAAAAAGTACAGAAACAAAAAACAAACCAAAAACAGAACACGACCAAAAGTTGACATAGTGCTCATTGAAGGTATCGGTATGTCTTAGAAGTCTTAGCCTGCCTCGAAGGGGAAAAAAATTGCTACTATCCTAAACGTCAGTTGATGACTTCTGATTGGAAATCCGACAGTAATAATACACCCCCCAGACACATAATTCGAGCCACCTATCTATATATAATTTTTATCCTAATAAAATTTTATACAAAAATATAGCATACAAGCATTGACTTACAAACATAGAAGAAAAAGTTTTCTCCGATATTTTGGATTCAAATTTTCAATAAAGACCTAATGACGTTTAATATACCAGTTTCATAATAGCATTTTTGAGCAATCAAGCTTTGTTTAAGCTAAGCATTTAATATTGAAAATGCGAGGTGGCTCGAAATATGTGTCCTGCAGTATATTAATAATTATAGCGTGTCGCTTCTAGTACAAATGCATTAAGCGGTCCTGCTCGATATGGGACGTATTGTTCGCCGGTTCTTGAACCAGAGCTCCTGAGCCCAGTTCTCTGCCTCTCCCATATAAAAATTCAAAATTAATCTTTTAGACGAGACTCCACAAATATTTTGCAATACTATTGTTGTCTAACTATTGTGCCTATATCTAAAAAACGTGTCGTATGTTCCATAGACTGGTAATACGCATCCGCTGTGACGCAGCCGCTGCACAATGTCCGCTGGGCATCAAATTCGGTTGCGATGCCGTCCATGAGGCGCCAAGGCTGCTCAAGCTCGCCGCAGTGCTGGGTCTAGATGTAAGTGCTTTTCATTTATTATCTTAGTAATCTCCGTAACTCAAACACATCGAGTATATAACCAGAAATAGAGACGAACTAATATGGGCCGTCCATTCATCCAACTCATCAGGGAAATGGGCCATATATCACTTTTAAATATCAACTTCCGTTTGCGCTGAAATCACAAATTAGAAAACTGAAATAGTACATCGCCAAGAACTGACCGGTGTGTACATATCCGTATATTCCAAAAACATTATGTATTTATTGAATTAAAGATAATATCTCTAACAATGGGGGGCTGTTCCATTCGGTGGTGTGGGAAAACAGCAAAACATCTAATTACAAAACAAACAATTTCAAACAAAAAAGTCAATTGTTTCGAATTCGGGCTGGCCAATCAGAGTGCAGTTGTCACCGTAATGATTTGGCAGAATAGTTTTCAAACAAATTAAATGACATTTCGTCTCTGTTCTGGTTATATACTCGATGCTCAAACACGAGGATATGATAAAATTACAGGCACATCGGACTTGTCAACTTATGTCTCAGGGTGATAGGCGCGGTAGTCGTGTCCGTCAGATCTTTTCGATTTAAAGTTTTGAGTGGTACTGCAACTGGTATGGACAGGCTTCTTGCTTAACACTAGGCGGACGAATTGTTCGTCCCGTCACTTTGTATCATAAAAGGAAATTATGAGGACGACCTGGGTACGATTTTCGGTTGAACTAATTTGGGAAACATGGCATTTTTATGTTTTCGCGATCGAGCAAGCGCGATAACTCCGCAGAAGACGCGCGACTTGATTTTTGGCTTGTATCTATTTTGTACGTTACGCAATTGACCATAAAGTTAATTACGCTATGTGTCCAATATATCGTTACCATACGTCGACCATAGCGGTCCAAAGCCATACAGTTCATTTTCCGAATTGTTAGGCTCAATTTATATTGCGGCAAAACTGAATGGAAACAACGTTTTGTAACGTTGCTTCCATTCGAAAAGCATCGAATATACACTTTATATACTAATAAATATATTCAACACCTTGTGTCTTTGTATCAATTGATTGAAATAATCTAATAAAAGCAATGGTGTCCAGGTGATCGGCGTGTCGTTCCACGTGGGGTCTGGGGCCGGCGAGTCGGCCGTGTACGCGCGCGGAATTGCGCTCGCGCGCGCGCTCTTCACCTTCGCCGCTTCCGCGGGCCACCGCCGCATGGCGCTGCTCGACATCGGCGGGGGGTTCCCGGGAGGTTCCGATACGTCTATCGCTGAGGTGAGTGAGGTGTTTAAAAAATACTATCAAATTGTTGCCTATTCAGTAACGTAGGCCACTGACGGAGGACTAAAAAAAACAAAATCAAACAAAACTCATTTAATGAAATAAAAGAAACCACAAATTGATTCTGTGTTGTTGGACACTGGGGCCGTGTGTGTGCAAATATGGTCTTGCTACAACTTCAAAAGATACCTAAAGGAAGACAATAATATTCGCCTTATAATTATATTTTTCCAATATGTCAGATTTTTTTTTAATTTCCACTAATTGAAATTTTCGGAAAATTACCCAACAGTACTTTATACATTAAGTCGATTGACTGTGAAAAAGTGATTAGATAAATCCGGTTTCCATAGATTCTGTTATCGCCACTGGCAGTGTTTTATTATCTTCATATTGTAGTATTATAGTTTTTACATAATATAACGTATTGTGTGCAGGTTGCGGGCGTAATAAACACGGCACTAGAGACGCACTTCCCCGAGAACACCGTGCGCGTGATCGCCGAACCAGGCCGCTACTTCGCCGCTGCTGCTTACACACTCGCCGCCCAGATACACGCCAAGAGAGAGGTACTTTGCCACTAACCAGTGGCAGTATCTGTACTGTCGCTTTTATTTCAACATTATATAACTATTTCAATGACTTTGCGGGCGGGCTTTTGAAGTTACAAGTACGGTTTTTACAAAGATTAATTTTATTTTTAAGTATATTATGAAGAAAATACGTAGAAAGAAGTAGTGATGAAGAAAGAACTATATTCCTTATTTTAAATCAAATTACAAAAGAATTTGTCCTGAATTCATTGTTCAAAGTGACAATAATGTGATATAAGAGAAAGTGAAAACATAAATATTGACTCCCGCCACTTAAAATACTATTTAGGGAGCTCAAACAAGAGAACTAAGTTATTTAAGAGAAAGTGAAAATAATGTTGTAGAACCACTACGGAAATTACTTACTAAAGAATAAAAAACCAATGACCTTACGGAGGCCCCATGATTTGACTATTCGCTTTAATTGCGGCTTTGTAATTTCAAACGCCTCATTTACTTGTGAATTGAAGAAAAATTATAACGTTTCTTTAAAGAAAGTTTGGTATCAAAAGAGATTTCGTAAAAAACATGAAAAAAAAAATCTCCAATTTGATTGTCAATATTTCCTTAATTATCAGGTTCCCAGTCATAGCTTCGTACAAGAAAATAATAGTACCGATGGGTTCTCGTTTTCGTTAAAGGTCCTTTTACACCCATGTTAAATATGGCCCACTGTATTTTGCACAAAAAATGTTGATTTAAAATTTTATAGGTATATTATCCGCGTAGTTCGAAAAAATAAATTACAATTTACTCATGTATTTATCTAGATCCCATCGAAGGATGGTGAGGACAACGAATCTCACACGATGTACTTCATCAACGACGGCGTGTACGGATCGTTCAACTGCGTGCTCTACGACCACCAGAACGTCGCTGCAAATCCACTATATGTGAGCATACTTTTACTTACTTTCATCCGCTTCAAAGTACTTCAAAAACTAATTTACGATTAAGTCTGCACGATTATGGAACAAATTCGAATCACATCAAATCAAGTATCTTTGTTTCGTAGGTAATCAAATTACACTTGAAATCGTCACATTAAACAAAAACCACTAGTTCTTAGCAGATCAATTTTACCTGAGAAGAATATTTTATTTGTATCATCACAAACGTTCATTAGCTGGAGGTACACCATTTGCGTTCGTATCATCTATGTCATTATTGGTTATATAATAAGCTTTTCTAATTAGTGCATTTTTAACATGAGCTTTAAACATTTTTTCTGATAAATTTGGTATAATTCCTGAAATTTTATTATAAAATCGTATACAGTGCCCCAGAAATAACGAGCTATCTTTATCAAGTCTGAGCATAGAGGTCGCAAGTTTATTTTTGTTTCTAAGATTAAGTATATATATATAAACAGTGATAGGCATAAGCCTACCACTTAAAATATTTGATTCTTTAAATCGTTCCCTTAAAGTATCACGGCAACCTAACTTATAAATTGCATGTACAGCTCTTTTTTGTAGGACAAATATTGTTTTAATGTCTGCCGCTTTTCCCCACAACAATATGCCATATTATGCCATAACCATCGAGTATATAACCAGAAATAGAGACGAAATGTTATTTAATTTGTTTGAAAACTATTCTGCCAAATGATTACTGGTGACAATTGCGCTCCGATAGGACAGCCCGAATTCGAAATATACTTTAGAGATGGGCAATCAAATATTATACTATCGAAATCGATAGTAAATATGGCATTATAAATAACCATTAACTGTTTTTTTACCGATTTCGAATTGTGTAGTATTGTTTTCTAACAACGCTATGACTGAGCATGGCATTGGGTATCAAAAAATGTCAAAACACACAATTTTGTACTGATAGCAAACAAAAAAATATATAATTAAAAATTAAATAAATTTTTAGTTTACTTTGAAAGAGCTCAGGGGCAGCCATGTTTTTTTATTTATTTTTCATTTTTGTGCATAATCTGACATACTTATAAAATCGACACATTATTCTCATGGCTGTAGGCATAGGTGTAGGTAGGAGTAGACCTGTAGACCTGTAGTAGTGTAGTAGTAGGCCTGTAGGTCGGTGTACTTTCTTTTACTTTACCGATTGTTTAAATAAATCATTATACAGTAATAATTATACTTGCAAATATCGACACGTTAGATGTTTTGCTGTTTTTCCCACACCACCGAATAGAACAGCCCGGCGGCATTGTTAAGATATATTATCTTTACTACAATAAAAACAGAATGTTTTTTGGAATATACGGAGATCAGTTCAGTTGTCAGTGACACAGAGGTCAGTTGTTGGCCTGTCTATATTTCAGTGCAAACGAGAGTTAATATTTATAAGAGATGTATCGCTAATGAGTTACCAGGAATATGTGATCCTTATTTCGTCTCTATTTCTGGTTATATACTCGATGGCCATAACGCTATGAAAATAACTAAACTACTTTTGGCGTAGCTTCATCCGTTAGGTGCCTTATTTTCCAAGCGGCGGGCGTACGATGCCGAACTTAATGTGCCAGCTAAAGATTTTATATGGGGTCATTAAGTTTAGAGGCTATAGTAATGCATAAAAACACTGTGTCATCTACAAAATTGAACGTATTACTATCTAGTGCTATATTACAATCTAACTTTCTAACATTTGGAAGGGTAAAATTAATACATTTAGTTTTTTTTGCGTTGAGTACCAAATTATTATCAGTAAACCAGGTGTGGACTAACTGAAGAGCATCATTTACATCGTTAAGTTTATCGTCTTTTCATATTTAACTTTAAATGTTAAAGAAGTGTCATCAGCAAACAGTACAATTCCAGTCAAATCTTGAACCATAAACGGTAGATTATTTATATATACTATAAAGAAAAAAGGACCAAATATTGATCCTTACGGTACTCCCATCTTGATTGGTGAACCCAACGACCTAGCCCCATTTACTTCTAGTTTCTGAATCCTGTCCTCCAAATAGGAACGGATCATTTCGAGACTAACACTTCATCCATAATGTTTCAACTTAATCAACAAGGTAGCGTGGTACACGCAATCAAAGGCTTTTGACTGATCACAAAAATGACTACTACAATCTCCCTTCTAAAATCCATTGACTTACAATTATATGGACGTCGGGTCCGCGCTAAAAAGTGTCCGAACTTATAAGGCGTTAAAATCGTATACAGAGCGTCATTCACGCTTTAGTCGTTTGTTCGACTGACAGCGAAGCAAGCAAAATTAGACAGTACTGCGATGACATTACAATTTAAATTCAACGTTTTAGCCTTTTCATATTCCTTTACATGTCACTACGTTTAAATAGGTTGACTTGGGACATTTTTTTCGTGGTTTTTGTATTAGACCCGTCGTCCATTTATTTGTAAGTCAATGCTAAAATACCATATTCTTCGTCGCTTCCTCTTTTAGAATAACTGGACTATATAAGTATCAGGGTACAGTATTAGGGTCGTATTCCAGAGCTTTACTTAATGCTGAAGTCAGGATTTGAGCAGACTTGAGTATGATTTCAAGCACTGTAAATACGACCCTAATGGCAAGGACTTGAGTATGATTTTCAGTGCTCACTGCAAAACTCAAGTCCTGACTTGAGTATTGAGTAGAGTTCTGGAATACGACCCTTAGTCTGGAACATACATATATGTTTATTTATCAGGCTTCGAAATTGATTTTTATTTTCTTTGATCATCACTTAACGCGTAACCGCCTTCTGTTCACGGAATCCCGCGGTTATTGAAAATTACAAATATTCTTTATTGTACCAAAAAAAGCAAAGAAATATAAATTATAGAGAAGGTGAGCAAGGGTGGACTTACCTCTAAAAGAGATCTCTTCCAGCTAGTCCAAGGCAGTGTATGTATAATAAATAATGGATGTAGAAAGTGCGCTGTCAATCTTTTTATAAAATAATAATTTAAAAAATTCGTTCCAGCCAACTTCGGAAAAGCCTACCCCTTGTTCGGTTTGGGGCCCGACTTGCGACGGCCTGGACTGCGTCCTGCCCTCGACGCAGTTGCCACCGATGAGCGTGGGTCAGTGGCTGGTGTTCCGCGACATGGGCGCGTACACGCTACCCGTGGCGTCCGCATTTAACGGGTTCCCAGTGCCCACCGTTAGGACCATGCTATCTGCTCCACTCTGGTGAGTTGATGCTGTTTTATGACCAAATAAAAATCTTAATTATCATGTACAGTTCGTTATCAAAACCCGTTCCTGAACTTGCGAAATTGAACCAGACAATAGGTTTAACAATGCAAAAGATTTTAAGGTCGGGACCGATACTCCCAAGTTTGAAACTAAGTGTCAGGTGGTGCGAGTAATTTTCGGGGTTCGAAGTGATAATTATTACTGGTAACTAACTATACATTGATAATTACCTTCATATTCATAAAATTAATTAGAACTATAAAATACTACTGCTTGCAATGTCATGACATGTGTTTGTATCCGCGACGTATACAGACATATTAAATATGAATCTCAAAGAAGTGACAAACCAAATCTTTACCCAAAGCGTTTTCTTCCTATGTATTTAGTTTTCTCACTCATTTTTAGTCAAAAAAGCTAAAGATGAATGAGCATGGATAATTCGACCCCTCTTAGGTAACGTATCGTATGTCGAAATTGCCAAGTTTACAGGGGCGCCTTTTAAAGTTCTGAATTCTCTGAAATAAGCACAACACGTGACTTTAGCATTTCTCAGTTTTATTCGGCAAAGCTCTTTACTCACATAGACTACTATAAAATCCTAGATATCGGTTACATGATCTATTACATGATCACTCTATGTGAGTAACGAGCTTTGCCGAATAATACAGAGAAATTTAAAACGCTCCCCTGTATACTTGGCAATTTCGATATACGATACTTTACGCAGGAGAGGTCGAATTATCGGACATATCGTCGGTGTTTTGTAAAAACGCGAAAGCGTCATTTCGAAAAAATTTTCATGGGAGCATATTTTAGTTTTTCACGAGTCATTTATAATAGTTACGTCCATTTTTATTTTTTATTTTTATTAAATATAAGTGCGCATTGATGATGAGGTCGACGATGTAGAATGCACACCTAAATAATGCCTATTAGCTCTCGCCTTGTAAAGGTCCAAGTTACAGCGTTAGTTACAGTTGCTTTAGCTGTACCAAGCACAAGTCCGGACGGACCGGACTTGTGCTTGGTACAGCTAAAGCAACTGTCCCGGTGTGAAGTAACGCCTCACCTTGGAAAGGATGCCAAGCTTCCTGGCTGCATTTTTGGCCATGTGTAAATTTTAAAACTTAAACTCAATTAAAAGTAAAATTGAATTTTAAAGCAGGATGTTAATATTTTAATACAGCCGTTAAAACCTAAAACATGCTTCCCTGGAAAAAATTCGAAATGGTGTTTTCGCCTTTCTACAGAACACTGACGATATATTGGATCATTATCAAAGAAAACAAAAATGTTGATAATTATGAACCCTGGTAATTTTCAATGGTAATCATCATAATTTCTCAGGTCGATGCTAAAAGAGTTTTGGCCGTTGGATGAGGCGCGTCTAGAGACGGGTCCGCCGGTGTCGCTGCCGCCGTCACCTCCGCCGCTTGAGGCCGTCACCAACCATCACGCCGTCTTCGTCGAGTGCGCGCTCAAGTGACCCGTCTCTCCTCCCTTTCTGTTTGTACGAGTGTCTATGCGCTTAACTTTACCGTCAATTTCATAAGGAACCGCGAGTTATTCGCTAGTGACCAATTGGGGCGCTCCATATGTTGCCATACAAATATGTATTTCTTTACCTCGGAAGCTTAACGCGTTATTTTTTTTTACTTCTCTCTACGTGAATAGCCCAATTTTTATTTGGCAAAAACCGAATCTCAGGAAATTGCATTTCAGTTATTTTTATACAAAACTGTCTGACGTGTAATATTAGAGTTAAGACGTAGTTTATAGCTTGAGATTGAATGATATCTACATTTCAATCACATCAACACTTTCATGGTAGTTGTATTTACTTTCGTCTACACACAACGTTGGGTTGTTGGGAAAATTTACATTTTGAAAAAATATATATTTTTCCGAGTATTTTTACATTTTTCACAGTTGACACGTGTCAAAAAGTGAAGATCCTGAACGAACCCTGGAGCAATTGTCAAGTTTTTTTTTTTTTTTTTTTGCTGTTATCCAGTCATTTGAAATCGCGTTTTATTCTTACTGCTTTTTGCTTTGCAGTTTATTTTTTTAATTAATTCTCCATAAAAGTTCAAAAGATTATAATGTCTAAACGTACAACACATAATATGAGCCTACAAATTACATTTTCCCAATTTTCCAGAAATATTTCCATTATTTGACATTTATCGGAAAATTACCCAACAATAGGCACAATGCATACAGAATTGCATTTGTTCTTGTAACTTTCACAAAAAACTTCAACAAAAAATCTCGACTTCCCACATCCCAAACAAATCGAAAATACAGCGCTTTTTAAAGTTGTTTACACAGTAATCTTAGTAAACTAATTTGCCCACTGCAGACACTGGCGATGATCGCCATAATTTTTAAATTGTTCGTATAAAACAGGCACAACAGACACAAGCCTAGTGGCAGCCATAAAGGAAATGATAATATCTTGATTCAGGGGGTCTACTCTCGATCTCCGTCTGACATCCGCCCGAAACAATTACTGCCAAATAAGCACTACTTGACCAAATGAAAAGACGCGTGATGCGAATGAAGTTTCATTCTTGATACTTGTCTTTTAATTTTGTCGAATATTACTTATTTGACAGTAATTGTTTCGGACGGATGTCGGACGGAGATCGAGAGTAGATCCCCTGGTACGGATTTTAGTAAAATCAGTTTCCGGTAATGTTAAGTGCATAGGTTAGTCCATACATTTCCCGCAAGATTTTGTTTTCCTTCCATATTGGTAAAATGCTAAATCACATGACCTGAATTGTTTTGTAAACAGAATGTTGTCAAATCGCTGTTATTTGGCCATTTTTATTGTAATAAAATTATAATTTACATGAAAACTGTTAATTAATAATTTTCTTCTGTTGGTAGTAGCAATTGAAATGAAGTTTCAGAAAAACAATAAACACTACTGAAATTCAAACAATTTTTTTGTATTTTTATGGATAATTCAAGAGATTGGTTACCATTTCAAAAGTGTTTAATCACTCTAAAATTACGATATAATCGTGTTTAAATTTAAATGTAATTGTAACTTTTCCATAAATGTGTAGTTAGCTTGTTTCTCATAAATTTTTTTTTTTCTCTTTGTCATTTTTATGCTTGTATAACTTTTTATTTACAAAAAATGTTTATGTACTGCCCAATGTATTTATTTTGTTACTATTTGCACAATTACGAATTAAAGAAAAAAATAGGTTTAGAACATTCCTTTACAAACAACATGTAATCATGAATAATGAAGTGTGTATTTAGCTTAATGCGAACTGTAATATGAATTAATTGGATGTTGAACTTGATGTTTCGTCATTAGATGGGTTTCGTAATATGTATTCTGTAGCAATCGCTTTTTAAAATATATGTTGCTAAAAATAACTTGTTTTTTTTATTAATTAAATACTGTTCTAAAGCCCCCTTCCTTCATTACGACCCGCTTACTGACTCCACGGTTGATTTATTAGTACACTGTTTTTGAATACTAATAAAGTTACCTGGCTTAGTGAAGAAAAACTTTCCTAGATTTCTCACAGACCGCGCTACGGCAAAAGTAATTAAAAAAAAACAGACGGGGGAAAAATTGGTAAGGGCTGGTTCGTTCCGTAGATCAGTTGGGAGAGCTTAAGCACGGTATGCTGAAAGCGCTTATTCGAATCCAGCCGAATCAAAGGAGTGTTTTTTTAGTGTTGTATCTTTGTAGTAATAGTTTATTACAGTGGAGTCCTTACATAAAAAAACATTTTTTTCTTTATTTTTTTTTTGTATGATTATTTGCAATCGGCCGCCAGGCCATAAGCGAATCTTTTGAACGAGAGGACGTTTTTGGTAGAGTGGCCAGTGCCGCACCTCCCAACTATAGAACATAGCCTTGGTTAAGCCGTTTGACCATAGTTGATGGATCTAGAAGTTCCGCGATGAGTGGGTTCGGATGGCAGGGTAGTCGCTCTTTGTGCTTAGTTTTATGTCGGTCGATCTTAGCAGCTACTGATATGACGCTTAGATGATTATGGATCTCTTCATTACGAGTGAACCAAGGGGCATTGACTATTGCCCTCAGGATACAATTCTGCACTCCTTGGAAACAAAGTATATTACTCTTGCTAGCCACACTCCACAGCTGAATACCGTATACCCAAATGGGTTTTAAGACCGAGTTGTAGATTAGAAATTTGTTGTCTACTGATAATGCTGAATTTCGTCCCATGAGCCAATGAAGGTTACGATATTTGAGATTGCCTTCATCTCTTTTTCGTTTTATCTGATGCTTCCATGTGAGATGTCTGTCCAAGTGAAAACCGAGATACTTCACACAATCAGAATGTGGTAATGTTTCATTACAAAGTCTTACTGGATTACAGTTTCCTTTTCTCAATGCAAATGTGATATGATGAGATTTGGTGGCACTGGCCAGGATGCGACATTTACAGAACCATCTGTGGGTAAGATCTAGTTGGAGTTGGAGATTTGTGCTAGCTTTAACAGGATTCCCGTCAACGGAGAAAATGTAGCAACTGTGATGTTATCCGATATTGGTAAGTCCGATGTAAAGATGTTATACAGAACCGGGCCGAGGACTGAGCCCTGTGGTACGCCTGCCAGAATATTGTACATGTTTGATCTCGCTTCTCTGTGTTTAACTTGGAAGGAACGACCCGACGGGTAAGACTCTATGAGAAGAAACATCGAGTGTGGAAGACTGTCGTTAACCTTGGCCAACAATCTCTTGTGCCACACCCAATCAAAGGCTTGCTGCACATCGAGGAAGGCCGCAAAACAATAATTTTTGTGTTCAAAGATCTGTCGGATCGTGTGGTATACCCGATGAACCTGCTCAATAGTTGAGTGAGACTTACGGAATCCAAACTGGTGACATGGCACAACACAGCGGTCATCCATAACCGGTTTGTGTCTGGCGAGAAATATCCTTTCCCAGAGCTTAGATAGCACAGGCGTTAGACTTATGGGCCGGTAAGAGGAAGCCTCTTGTTCAGGCTTTCCTGGTTTGTGGATCATTACTACCTGGGAAATCTTCCATATGGATGGAAAGTGACCCGTCCTGAGAATGGTATTGAACAAGCAGGTTAAAAATGTAATGCACTTCCTTGGGAGATTTTTAACATTTTCGGAGTAGTAAGATCAAATCCCGGGGCCTTTTTTGGATGTAATGATCTTATTCGTTGCGCAATTTCTCTTGGAGAGGCAGGTTTAAGAGGCAAACACATTTGAAGGTCCTGCGCTAGAGCTGTCTCCAAGTCAGACTCTTCATCGGTCACTTTATCATACGGCTTAAACACTTCAGCTAGGTGCTTAGCAAATACTTCCGCCTTTTCTGTATCTGTTCTCGCCCATGTTCCCGTTTCTGTTTTGATAGGAGGGTACTGTTGTTGGGGTCTATTTAAGCCTTTAGTTGCCTTTCAAAGTGAATGCTCAACATGTCCAGTAGAGGCCATCATATGCAAGTTAGTGTTAACTACAGAGTTGATTGATGCATTGATGATACTCTTGAGCTCGTTGCATGCCTTATTGTATCCATATTTGTCCAGCGGATGACGCGACTGATGCCAGACTCGTCTTAGACGGCGCTTTTCCAGGATCGTTGCACGAATATTCGATGGTTGGGTGGGAATGCGTGGAGTTGAATCCTGTTCCGGTGTGTTAGCCCAAGCTGCTACTTGGATAAGGTTCGTGACATGTATGCATGCTCCATCTATCTCATCGGAGGCCTTAAGGGGGATTGGTAGTTCTATATTTCGATTTTTGTAACTTCTAAAACCCTCCCAATCAGTCCTGTGGTTTATAAGTGATTCTGCCTTTTCATGAGTAATCACACTCGCATTCACTGTCAGAATTCTTTTTAGTGTAATCAGATCTAAGCTAGGTGTTGTGGTTCTCAATATTGAAATGGTGCCGCTGAAATAAGCTTATCCCAGCGGGGACAGTAAAACACCCTCATAACTTGTGAACGACGGACCGACTAAATCTAGTTTATTGCGACTAGAACCGACTAAATAGCGACTTTTTTTCGGGCTAGTCAAATTTAAAAAACTCGACCTTAGTCACGTTGGAATAAGGCACGCCTAAATGTCATCTTCTTAGGGCTCGTGCAGCGTGCCGGCTATTTTTATTTAGCGACTGGGCGCGCCGACTCGCTGCGACTTGTTTAAACATGTAGAACTAAATGGCTTAGTGCAGTGTGCCTGCGATCGGCGACAATTGGTCATGAGACTTGCAGCGATCAGTCGTCGCAAGACGCTTGCGACTGCCACTGGATGATCTTTTAATGTTCCTGTTACTATTAGATTATTACATAAGTAATTTGTGAACTGCCTCCGTGACCGAACGGTTACCATCTGCCTGCCACGCAGAGGTCCCAGGTTCGATTCCCGGGCCGGGAGAAATAGTGGTATGGCCTACAATTATTTCTCTCGTGAGTTTGGGTGTAATTTGTGGTTGTCTATGTGTGTGCATGGCACCCGCGATACTATGGCTATGTTGAGTGTGTGCGTTATTTAATTAAAATTATAATAATGGACCCCAGACGGGTCAATTGATGAAGTTCGTAATCGCCGCAGAATATTAAAGGGATGAATATTAAATCACGTCTTACTCCGGGGCAGAACCACCTACGCTTTATTTT